TTTGTTCTAATTTATTTATGTGCATAATTGCAGGTTATGAAGTCATCCTTTACCCATTGATTTATCTTTTCCTGATGACAACTTCCCCCCCCAAAAACCACTTTGATTACATATGCTGAAAGACTTTAATAAATCCAAAAGTGTGGGGGGTGTTACATGTAAATGTCTAATGAAGAAAAATGATTGATTCTGTTAAATAACTGGTGAAGAACAGATTATTTTTTATGTATCAACTTTTAAAAATAGGTTGATCAGTTTTTTTCACATTGTGATAGATCTTAGAAATGAAATAGAATTATTATTCTTGCCATTATTAATAATAATCACATGATGTTAATAATGTATCTCCTTCAGTAATAAAAAGTAGGTGTATATATTAATCAGCTAATGGCAATTGTATCTTATGAGAAAGAAAACTAAAACAACAATGAACACAAAAATATTCAGAAATGTGAATTATTCAAACCTGGTTAGAGTTGCTGCATAGTTTTTATTTTATAGTCAAAGCTAAAAAGGGAAATCCTATTAGTTACACAAATTGCTGGATTCATAAGACAAAATATAGTTATTGAAAAGAAGAATAATTTCATAGGAAAAGGAAAACTTTCTTCTCAGCTTTCTTCCATCACAAGGTGATTTTTGATAATATTAATAGTATTCTCAGTAACACTAAAGAGGATAAAATGTTTCATAGGATTATAGTTAGAGTATAATTGCCAGCTTGTTTTTAGACTGCTTTTTAGAAAATGGTCAAAATTAGCAACAGAGTAGTTGCAGTTAAAATTTTATTTCCTGTATAATAATGATGTACTAGAATGCAGTTACTAGAAATTAATTTCACATTGTAAATAGTCAATGTGATCCTAATAAGAGAAAGATATAATAAACAAATGTATACTTTTTCTAACATATGTTAGATATGTATATCTAATATGAAAGCTATCTTGGGTGTTTTCCAGTTGGACTTTCTGAAGAGTCTGAACCAACTGAGATATTATAATACACAAATTTGATAAAGTTTGGATTGAAACCATTTTCTTTCTCTGGGTATTAATATAAGGCTTTCAGAAAAGTCTTCAAATCTGGCCTGGGAACTTAACTAGATCATGTAAAATCGTTTCTCTTTGCACATAGAAATGTGACTATTAGACCATAACCATTGTTCTTAAGATTTGCTAAATTCTGATGTCTCATTATAAAACAGAGCTAAAATCTATTATTTATAGGGACACAAAAGGAAAAAATATCTGCAAATCCCTGCTTAAATCCCTTTGTTTGAAAAGAACTGTGTTTCTCACAAGTTGTATAAGTTTATTTTCTTTAATAAATTAGGGACAAAGCAAACATGACATATTTCTTTTGTATCTAAGGAATTTATGACTGGATTTCATAATTAGCTCATAATTATAATCCCTTATAATTAAAGGGATTATAAATGCCATGTGGTACTCCCAACAGGGTCTTGGCTTTAGACAAAACCTACCACATGTCCAGCGTTCAATAACAAAAGTTCCAGGGTTCAGTATCATTAGAGTAACCAGATGTCCCTTCCTTCATTCAGGGGACTGGGCAATGTGTACTAGCTAGAATGTATTTGACAAAACATTTAATATGTGAAGTCACCCAAGTGGTCTCTGCCACAGCATGTCAAGAGATTCCTAGCCCAATGCAATAAAAATGATCTAAATATAGTCTCTTAACAGAGGGAAATAATTCCTAATTTTGACAGATCAGAGTTGGTACAAAACTCCCTGTATAAGTATTGGTGTCTTTTGCCTAACACAGCTTTGAATTGCCTTTAAATTAGAATTACCAGTATACATAAAGACACCCTTTATGGAGTACTTAAACAGAAGACAAAGAAAATTACCACTGTGCATCAATCAAAGAATGTTTAACTCATCATGGTACAATCATTTAAAGGGTGCTAGTAAACTCTGAAAAGGAATGAGATGAAGTTTTATATACAATCTATAAAGTTACCTTCAAAATATAAAAAGCCTATAAAGGGTATATACCATTCCACTACTTATCTAAGAGTGGGGAAATATATATGCATATTATTATTGATAAATTATTTATTGGATTTATAAGATTTAAAATATATATTGAATTTGCATGTTTTGAATGGCATTAAATGATGGGCCAAACTCTTATTCAAACATGATTACATCCCGAGGGAGGAAATTAAATTGCATAGCTTGGAGTTAACCCAGATAGAAAATGAACTTCTATAGACTTACATTGCTCTATATGTTTAATTCTGGATCATGTAAATCCAATGATTTGATTTCAAACACTAAAAAAACACACCATTTATAAATACAAAGCAAATATCATTTAAAAATGTAATCCTTAAAACATTAAGAAAATTAAAGTGATATATGTATATTGAGGGCTTGCATAGCACATGATGAGAAAATGTTTTCAAGAGATATTAAAATGTAGTGACAAGGGAAAATAGCTAAAATGATATTAAACTATTTGATAATTTTTTCAGACAGTACAGCTATCATTATTCTGAGACTGTCTTGAGTTTATTGTAAATTAGTGTAACTAGCTATGTAGATGTCACAGCAATCTGGGGTTTTAATTATAAAAAGGAGTTACAAATATAATAATAATGAGGACAATTAAAAATCTTTATTCCTGAATGTACCAGAATAAGCATATGATGCAGGTAATTGTTCTTGAAACCATCATATGTCTTATCTTTGTCTTTTGAAAAGATCAGCCCCATAGGAATGAACAGCCCCAAATCTCATGGTTTGCCTTCTCCCGCCCCCCACACCCCACAAATCCCCTGTCAAAAAATAAAAGGGTGAGGTAACATAAGGGTTTTGTGGCAAAATTAGCTGATACCACAACTTGGACAGGGTATGTTTAAAATAGGCATTACATCTCTTGCCAAACTCCGACGCAAGTAAGTAATCAAGATAAAAGTGTCCTTGTTGAGACACTGGGGAGTGAGTAAGAAGACTCAACCATTAGAAAAAGATGGGAAAATTTGAGTTTTAAAAAGAATAATAAGTGTAATGAATTGAAACACATCCAATATTTTAAAACCATGAGTTCATAATTGTCACTTTGGTGGTTGTTAAGGAAGCAACTCAACATTTTGAAACTACCAAATAAAGAGCATCTATGCTGCATTTCTTATACAAACTATACTTTAGAGAATCTGAATGTTTACAGGGGACACTTCTTGATGCAGAAATATTCACCCAAAAATTAAGAAAAACTGATCATTTTTCACTCCTAATGAAATGGATGTATGTACAGAAAGATCATTAATGCCTGAAATAATCACAAGAGGAAAGTTAGCTAGGTTTTACATCCCATTTGCTCTGCAATACCATCCAGGAAATTTCTGTGCCTCCCCAAATCAAACTTGCATCTAACTATAATGATATATCTAACAACCAATCTACAGGAAATTCAGGGACGAAGGACATGTTCAGTTATAAAACAAGGATACATTGCAAAAAAAAAAAAAAAAAAAAACACCAAAATCTATGGGCTAACCAACCTACTTTCCTCAACACAAATCTAAGAAGAAAGTAAGGAGGAAAAGCAGAACCTATAGATTGAAGGATAATTCAGAGAAGGGTAACTATCTAATCGGTCATCCAAATAGGGCACTTTGAGAGTAAAAGTGATGGCTATTAAAAATATATATAAGGACAAAGTGAGTCAAAGAGATGGCTCCCAGGCATCTGGAATATATAAATCTATATAAGAAATGAGAACCAATTTAACCTATGGAACTAAATTGTTTGGATTTAAAATTTTTTGAAGAGAGAGACAGACAACAGGGAAATTATAACGACTGCTTAGGTATTTGGAGACATTAAGGAATCACTGTTTATCATTTAAAGTGTGATAACAGTACCAAAGTTCTGATTTTTAGAGAGTTTATCTTTTAGATGACACACACTGAAAATACATACTGAAGGATACACAAATGAAAATATATAATATTTTGTTTTCCTTCAAAATAAGGGGAAATGTGGGTAGATGTACAGGTACAAATAATTGGTCATGAATTGATTAATGTGACTAATGGAGTGTATAATGCTATTATCTTTATTTTTGTATATTTTCAAATATTTTTAGTAGAGTTAAGATTGAAATATTTGTATTACCACCTGATGTTTATTGTCACTTTGTTTATATATCAGTCTAAATCTATTAATCTCTACACAATTGGACCATGGACATTACTATTTTTAAAATTTCCCTTGTGATTCAAATCATGGTCTAGGTTGGGAGACTACACTATCCAAAGTAAGTTATCTGAATAGAAACATCATTATTCATGGAATAGTATTTATGATCCCTTCAGGGAAAAGCTTTGAAATCCTCAAAGTTTGAAAAAAATATTGTTAATTACAGTTCCTTTTATCATAACATATAATTTGTCTTTGAGTACAAGTTATGAAACAGTGATAAAGATTGAGAAAATTAAGTTGCATAATAAGACATCTGAAATTCTGACATCTTCCAACTCAGTGGTCTGTATTTGTAATGATAATATACTTTTCTGTATAAAACAAAACTGTATGTGATTGGTTGAAATGTTTTTTTTTTTTTCCTGCTTTATATATGCCATACAATTTTTTCCTGTCTCCATCATAAATTTTATTTGGAGATCTAGACTTGGTTACTCTTAGTTTTCAAGGTTTTATAATTCATCATCAGCCCCAGAGGACAAAACATATGACCCAAATCTAAATCAATCATGTTTAACCAAAGGAGGCCTAATTGATATGTCAATATTCTGCTAGTGTAAATAAAAAAGAGAAACCCTAACTGAAAATTGTGACTTTGTTCAGGAATACAGAAGTTAGATTCCATTTCATAGAAAGACACAGGTCAAAAATATATATATCAAATTGTTATTTTATTTACGCTGGCTACAGTTCAGTAATTGTAGACTTGTGTGACTCTGTTCCATGCTATAATGCAGGTTGAGTTGTATCGTGTATCTTCTCTTCCAGGAAACTGGTTGAAAATGAATCCTTACCTGGGAGAGGCAGAAACTTGCAAAGCTTCTGAAATTCTGTGAGAGATAGAATGTGCATCACTGCTATAAAGAGACCATTGGCTAAAGCAAAATACACACAAGTTTTGATGTCAATGAATTGGTGGATTGCATTCTACTGACGGGGAAAGTAAAAGGATTCAAACAAAAGTATCATCAAAATAACAGAGAAATAAATGGTACTTTGGGTGAGTGAAAATAAAGGAAATAAGCAATTTACAAAAGGAAAAGTGGCATAAGAAAGGAAAAGTTCAAATAGGCAAAAAGAAACAACACTCTTTATATGTGAACTATAAGGCATAGACATAAAGCTTGGACAAGACTGACGAGCAGAAATTCAGCATACAAGTTATTACTAGGAAAGAGGGTGATGGTATCAGAGGCATTAATACACAGACCTCCAGCTTATTTATGAGAAAATTTATTTGAGAAATTTTATTTCTTAAAGTGGATGATATATATAAGGGACATTAATTTCATTTAATTTAGATGGTTACAATATTTAATATTTTTAAGAAAGTCATACATATGTTTTTTTTAAGTAATATCAGTTTATGACATTGACTATGATTTAGAGGTACAGGATCACACCCTTCAGATGTATGTTGCCATATGATACCCACCAGCAAGTGTCCTATAGTGCACTATACTTAAAAGTTATTCTTTTGACCTAGGACTTGGAAAAAAGAGAACAAAAGATCTCTGGGTTCCGGAGATAAAAGAGAGCTGCAACTTGGTTCTAAGCAATATGAACAGGACAGAGACAAAATCTTGGAAACAAATTGCTTCATGGAGAATCTGGGTAAGCAGGACAATAAAGCAGGGCAAAAAATATGTATATCATCACCATCATTTTTTAATATAACTGAGCATTTCTATATCACTTACTTAGGATATGTGATGAATATAATTATCTTTACATTTTATTTTATTGGAATCTTTCAAATCACCAGAAGATTGAGACCTTTTTATCTCTTGGCATTTAAGTACTTCTACACTAATAATATAAATGGCTCTTATTATAGAGGTGAGTTGGCTATGATGTCTTTCCCTAGTATGTTCTTTCCCTCACAAACTTTCCAAGGCAGAATATTGCCATGTGTGGCCTCCCCTGGTGGCCCAGGTGGTTGAGCTCCCCGCTGTGAAACTGTCCGCAGCCTCTGCAGTGCAGGTTCGATCCCAGCTGGCCGACGAGGGTCCCACATGCCACGGCAGACCTCTCCTGTCGTGCCCGCTGCCCCCCTCAGCAGTGTGTTTCATCAGTCTGCCTGTTGTGTTCCCCACTCTGTCTCTGGTAATCCTTTCACCCTTCCGTGCATCTGGCCTGTACCCTGGTTCTTGTATAAAATAAAATAAATAAATCTTTAAATAAAAATTCATGCCATGTGAAATTGTGTAATCTAGTCGATGATATCATAAAAATTCTCCACAATATTACCAATTGTCTTTCTGCTTTCAGTTGAAACTTGGTATTTACTAAAATACTAGCATAATTAAATGCATTTCCTTAATGATCATTTATGTAAAATATTTTGTGCACAGTAGCAAAATGCTTCTGAGTACCAAAATCAATTAGATTAGCTTAATTAAAAATAACTTACTTTCTAGAATTGATATATTGTTACCCATTAGTCACATATAGGGATGGACATCTATTGGGATCTAACTTTCAAACTGACTTGTATTTGCTTGTTTTTTTTCATCTATTTGTGTATATACTTTTTAATTATCTGAATACAATTGTCAAAATATTCCCCCTTTCAACATCACTCTTTTCCCCCATTTTTTTTTTAAACAGAGTTCTATTCTCAGTAAGCATTTTCTGGAATGTGAAAGTTAAATCCTGTACATTGTTTTCCCCACATAAAATCATCAAGATTAAAAGGGAGGTATCAGACAATTATTTTCAAGATCTCTATTTGAGCAGATAACCATTTGGAAACAAAAGGGGGTTGATTATCTGATTAATTATGTGATGATTTGATTATGCTGATAGTAACAAAGGGATTTTTTTCACTGAAATGAATTACAGACGTGGATTTTAGTATATAGTCCTCTATCCATCACAAAATTGTATATTCTCAGTTTTATTATAGCTTTGTGTTTTAAACAGTACACTCTATTAAGAAGTCTACTTTTGTAATAACAGCTATAAATCTTATTTTTGTGTGAACAGATAGTTTTGCTTGTTTTTTTTTAAAGATTTATTTATGCATACAAGAGCTGGGGTACAGGCCAGAGATGTAGGGGGTGAGAGTATTCACCAGAGACAGAGTGGGGCACAGAACAGGCAGATTGACCAAAGTACACTGCTGAGGGGAACAGCGGGTGAAACAGGAGAGGTCTGCTGCGCCATGTGGGTTGCTCACTAGCTGGCTGGGGATCGAACTCATGCTACAGAGGCTGTGGATTACTTCATAGTGCGGTGCTTAACCCCTTGCGCCACCAGGGAGGCCATGAACAGATAGTTTTTGATGTCACATTTTTCTGCAGAATTGCAATGAGGATCACTCAGTCCTTTGTGTCCTACTCCTCTTTAACAATCTTTGATGAGAACTGCAAAACCCCAAGTGACTTCTCCTAGAGGTAGAATCCCATCCCTCCCAGCAGGTCAACCCATAGGAAAGAACTTAGCAGAGACAAGGGCCAAGAGCAGCTTCCTGGCAAGTGGACTATGCTCAGTGCTCACTCGGGCACACTCACTCTTGCTGGGGGAAACTGCAGCAAGATTAGGACATAGAGGGATTAACTTCTAGAGTGAGAATACATGTATTAGAAAGAAAAGAGACCTCAATAATTACCATTACACCACAGCAGGTGTAATGTATTATTTGTTATACTACTTTTATGCACTCTCACAATTTATGAAAAAATATCACTGCATCTGTTAATATTCCTACTTTGCATCCATTTCTTCATTATTACATGATGTTTGAATAATCAGAATTGTTTTAAAAACTATTATTTTTTTCCATTCAAAATATTAGATACACTGAGGTTTTTAAATCCATATATGATGTTATCATTCTAATATCATGTTACACTTTCTTCGGTAGCTATAGAATCAGTCTTATTGTTGTATAACCTGTATATAACTGCATAAAACTTACTGTATATAACCGTATAATTGTAATCAAATTCCAAAAATGTTGTGGATTTCAGAAGGTAAAGAAAAAACCTGATACAAAATCATTTGTGTCATGTTTAACAGAAATCAGTAGACTTTATTTTCCATGGTAATGATTAATCTTGTATTAATAAGAAACTATATTGGTAACATTCTAAATTCAGGTTCAAAATGAGCACAGTTCAAGGAATGTTCATACAAATTCACTAGTTAGAATGGTAGCAGCATCTTCCTTAGATAGAGATTTTGGGTTTGCTACCATCTCAAAAGATTACTTACATTAGTTCTAAACATTGTTTAGAAATATTTGACATCATGTAGCTCTTGTGATTATGAGCCCAGAAAATGACGGCTTTACGCATTCTTCTGAACCTCCCAAAAACTGATCCCGTGGTTAAGGTTATATGTTTATTATTGACACCTTAATCTGAGACTAGCGAAACTCTTTTGCAGCCCATCCTTAATTAGAGAGTCCAACACCCAATACTCAATATTCTAGAAAACAGATTAATTCTTCTATGCAAGCATTTCTAGAAGTGATGCTTTAAGGTGATTTTGAGATTATTCTTCATTATTTAAGATGTGGCTGCTGTTTAATATGAGAGGAAGAATTTAAACTTTGAAGAGGCAAATAAAAAAAAAAAATCTTTCAAATGTCCAATTTCCTGGGCTCCGAAATGAACCGTGCTGCTTGAGATCACCGGAACTGTCTAAATATTAACAAATGAGGACATTGAGAAGTGTATCAGCATGTCTGAGAGTATGACTTAGCTTTTGAATATAAAAAGTAAATCAAATTTGGAAAATATTTATTTCTAACTATATTTCCTGTCACATATTAAGAAATTTTCATTTCCAAACTACTTTCCTGTTCAAATGACAGTATTTTTACAGGGCTTAGAGAATGTTTTCAGCCAAAAAATATTACCTGTGAAAGTTTAAGCTATATAATGGCAGTAAATAAATTTATAATCATAACTCAATTAGATAAAGTTGAAAATTTAGGCGATCTGAGTTTTTGGAGTAACTGTACTTTGTGAGATTATCAGAAACAGGTATTTTATAGTGCTAAATATAGCAAACTTATAATCCTGAATATTTGATAATTAGAAAACATGGACACTTGATTCATCAAATTTTTCAGTTATTATCTATGTTCTGGATCATAAAGAACAATAAAAATTAAAGGATATAATAAAAATGGTATTTGGATTTATTCTCCTTATATAATCCTTTTTTTAAGATGTACTGTTTTTAATAACAATTTTTCCCAAATGTTTTCTTCAGTAGCTACCTTTCAAACAAGCTACATGGAAACGAGGCTTGATCTATAAGTGTAAACATTCCACATTTATTGGCTGGTTTGTTTTTGTGGACTTTTAGAATAGAAAATAGGCTATTGTGCTACTTTTAAGTATTCACCCTTACTTTATTTTACTATAAATATAAAATCATGAAAACTCAAAGCTTTTCAAGACTTCGAAGGATAGAAGCACTTTAAGTGTGATGTTCTACTCTCCTTTGATTATAAAGCTGGTCATCTCTGACTAATATCACATAGATTGAAAGTATGATATTACATTTAAAGAGACACACTTCAGAGTACTCCCACACAATGCTCTCTTTTTACTAGTTCTTGGGCATTTGTGAGTCTTGTCAGCATAAACATACAAAATGTAGTTGATAAAAAAGCTTTTAGCTTTGCGTAAAAGTCAATCCTCTTCTTTTATTCCTTTTCAATAAACAGACTTGAATATGACACACTTCATATATAGCCAAGAAATGTTCAAGTAGAATTTGTCCACTTTCATGATTGTCCAAATCTCCATATATTTACGAGCAACTTGTAAAGTCAGCTTGTTTTTTTAAATCCAAATTGTACCTTTAGAAAATACTTTTTATAAAATAAAGTTAGAAAATCTCCAAATGCCTCTTTAAAAATACTTTTCTGCTAGAACATTTATAGTTAATTCTGTGAATGTTAATTCAGTGAATTGTATATAACACTATATACAATTGCTAACATGATTTGCATTTATTAATTTATGTTTATTTTCCTCTATCAATGATTATTGTTAATGTAATGTTTAATGATTAAGAATTTTAAAAGTGCTACAAAATATGTCCCTACATTCTAATATTTTTAAAAATTATTTATTTTTTTGAAGATTTATTTGTTTTTCTACAAGAACTGGGGTATAGGCCAGAGGCACAGGAGGGTGAGAAGATTCACCAGAGACAGAGTGGGGAGCAGAACAGGCAGACTGACTGAAATACACTGCTGAGGGGAGCAGCGGGTGAGACAGGAGAGGTCTGCTGCGCCATGTGGGTTGCTCCCTGGCCAGCCAGAAATCAAACTCGCACTGCAGAGGCTGCGGACATCTTTACAGCGCTGTGCTCAACTCGCTGCACCACCGGGGAGGCCCTATACTTTCTAATATTTTGAAGAATAGTTTAGACTGTAGGTATATTAGATCATTTCTATCATTTAAGAACAATTAAAATCACGAGCATGATTTAACTTTTTAATGTATTATTTTATAAAGATACTTTTATATAACTATATATGATTTAGAGATACAGGCTCACACCTTTTCAGATGAATATTACCACAATATAAAATCCATCTTCTATTATCGTGGTTGTAATTATATTTCTGTTTAAAGAAACATAAT